ATATTAATGCTGATTTTTAATTTAACCAACAGACTGGAATGGCAATGATTGTCCAAGTTGGTGATCATGAGGAAATAACAATGCCACCTCCCGACTTTCCCAATTGTGGACCGTGGACGCCAGATGATTGAAAGAAACATGACGGTTGAAATTATCTATGTTCCAAGCTTCTTTATAAAATAACTGAAATTAAACTTTTAGTTGATATGAAAAAATATATGATGAAACTGTATTTTTTTATTTTCCATTTGTTGTAACCTCAAACTAAAGAGTATAAAATTGCAAGAGATCCGACTCTCAGAGTTCTATTAGAACGCAATCCTATCTTAAAATGTAATACCATGAAGTAAAGGGTGTCCTTCAAAAACGTACCTATTCGATCCCCTATCATTATCCTCGTGGTAGTACTTTTTACGTTTCATTGCGTGCATACAAAATCTGGGCAGTCGGACATCTTCCAATTCTATGCTCCTTGCTGAAACACACTACCGGTATGATCGTTTGTCCATGGCTTTTTAGTGACATTTGTTATTATAAATTCATTTTAATGGAACTAGAATAATGTAAAAATTATGAAGGTAGGTTTACAATTTCGTATCTAGTCGGATAATACAGTGTGATGACTGGCCTACTGGTTTGGGTTGATATAAAAAATAAATGGAAGACTATTTTTTTAACTGAAATGAAATACCGGTATCTTTATTTTCCTTAGCAATTTTGTCAATATGTTATTTTAAGTGAAATTTAATAATGGAACTAAAAAACTTTTTTTTAACTGAAACGGATTACCGGTATCTTTATTTTGCATAGCAATTTTGCCAATATGTTATTTTAAATTAATTTAAATAGGCCTAATGGAAATTAAAAAATCACAATTATGAAGGTAGACCTATTTGGAAGACAAGAACACACACTTAAAATTTACATTAGACCGAGAAGTTGATGTATCAGCGCCCTCTAGTGCACAGAAAGCATTTTGTACTTTAGGTTCTTTCGTGCAATAAGTATATTACATACCGCGGCCGTATAATGATCCAATAAGCACTTTTCTCAAATACAAAATCACTAAACGTCTAATCCAGAAGGCCTATACCAAACATGCTTTAAGATTTAGTACGTGATTGCAGCATTAAATAATAACTTTTCCATGGATTAAATAATTCGTACCTTGCAGCAAGTCATATAGACTTAACCTACACAACATTACATGTACCCCAATATAGGCCTATGTATAATTTTTATGATTACTGTATACAATCATATTGTAATAAACAACACTCTTGAATACAAGTTTAGACCTTTTTAAATTGCAGAGTTAGCACTTCATTTCCATGAATCCTCTTTGATGATTTCACACATTATTACTGTTGTACAAAGTTTCACAAATTTGTTGTAACTCTTGAAAAATAACGTACTAACACATTGATATATATATACGAGTAGCTTACTAATGGAGCGCGCAACGGCCATCATAACCTCAGCGTCATTGAATACGGTACTGATGTAGGCCTACGTTTTTTATTAACCGTTAGAACACGAAATCAGGTTAATAAAAAAAATCCTTTAGTGCTTTGTGCCAAATGACGCTCTACAATCTTGGATTTGAATTCAATTGTTCTCGTTATGCCATTTTCCTGACAAAAACATTTTGTTGATACACAGGGCTTGTTATTTTAAAATGGCTGGTGATTATTTGGGGAAGGGGAAATTTAAGTTTCTGTGGAATAGTAAGTATACACATAGGTACTTCTCATGAAGTACCTGCATTATGGAAACGCTCATTAATCCATCCACTGGCCAAAATTAGTAACCCTAGAATGCTAAATGATTACAGACCTATTGCTCTTACTGCCGTGCCTATGAAATGCTTTGAAAAACTAGTAAAATGTGAGATCCTTAATGAAACCAATGATAAAGCAGATCCATATCAATTTGCTTACCGTCCTAAGAGAGGTGTAGAAGATGCCATTACTACCCTATTGCATAAAATTCTTGTTCATCTAGAGAGTGCTAATGCATATGCTAGAGTTTTATTTTCAGATTTTTCCTCAGCTTTTAATACAATTAAACCTCATATTTTAATGGAGAAGATGAATGTTTTAGGTATTAACCCATCTCTTATTTTATGGATCAACAACTTTTTAAAGGATAGGGAGCAATTTGTCTGTTTTAACAATTTTAACTCTGATATATGTACGTGCAATACTGGAGCTCCCCAGGGCTGTGTTTTATCTCCTTTTCTTTTCTCTTTATATACTAACGATTTTAAATGTACAAATAAACAAGTTTTTACTGTTAAATATGCAGATGACACTTGCCTAGTTGGCCTTGTGAAGGATAATGACACTCGGGTATATCTTGAGAATGTCGATCGCTTTTCAACATGGTGCCAAGATAATTATATAAAGTTAAATGTTAAAAAGACAAAGGAGATTACCGTTGATTTTAGAAAAGGCAACAAGACACATGATGACCTGACTATTATACATGATAAGGTTGAAATTGTTAAACACCATAAATATCTTGGTACAATTATTGATGATAAACTTGACTGGAAAGAGAATACAAAGCACATTACCAGTAAGTGCAATCAGAGGCTGTACTTCCTAAGACGTTTAAAGAAATTTCATGTATGTAATAAAATCATGGTACTCTTTTATGAATCTGTCTCTTATACACATCTAGATGTGTATAAGAGACAGTCTCACTATTATCTGCTAATCAACACAATTTTCTAAAGAGTACAACACTCAAATTCCTTCAACTTTATACTTCTTCTTTACAACATGCATAGTTCCCGCTGTCTTTCCGCATTGCCCCGACGACTTCGAGCACGCGTAAAGTCGTCGTGGCAATTTTTGTTCAGTCTTTGTCCCGCTTGGCGGCACGCTATACATATAGCGTAGGTTTTTCTCCGACTCGCTATGGACGGTTGAACATGCTAAATCCCAGAGACAGTGTTATTGCAACACAGAGAAGGTGTCTATATCACTTCTTCAAGAGCAGGAGAAAAGGCAGAAAGAAGAAGAGCGCCGAGTTCGCGCAGTGTTCACTCATATGGTAATAATATTGATACGTGTCGAATTTTTGAACATTTTAAAATTCTCCCCACGACATGGCGCACACCCCCGCACCCTTCACGTACTCCTAACACTCGTTCCCGAAGACTTTAATCATTGGCACGCCGAAGTGCGCGCCAGTGCGGGAACGAACATCTGCGTCAGGGTGGCATTAGGTACATTACACAGTATTTTCACATGTTTAATTGTGTTTATGATGTTATTACTTAATTAATAACTATTTAATATCAAAAACTTTTGATTTATAATTTTTCTTTAGAATTCGAATATTTTCGCGTGTTCATGCGCACTTGATATTTAAATGCGAATTACATCGAAATTATAATTGGAATGTTCGTCTATTCTATGACTGAAAAGACCTGCCTGCCTTTCTTGTCAAAAAAGTTATGTTTTGCTCTTTACTTTAGGTCTACACAATATCAGTTTATATATTGCGGCCAACTGACCTATACTATTTTAATATTTGTAAATAATAATAATCAAATTAATAACATAAGATTTGTATAGGACTCGCTCATATTCCAACAATCTAGATACCAGGGGTGGATCTAGTAGGGGGAACGCCCCCCCCCCCCTCGTTTTGCCACTAAATTTTAAAAATTTCAATGCAAATCAATGTTATGTGCTTCTCACTTACTTTTCTGAAACTGTTGTGCCCCCACCCCCGTTTGAAAAAATTCTGGATCCGCCCCTAGATACCCTATATACGTATCATTAAAATCGGTAAAGCCGACCAAGGCTAAAAGTAATGATAGGCCTATATATATATATATATATACCGTTACATGAAAATAATTATATTTGCATAGTACCGTTTTAATATACAGAGTAATAAGGTAGGCCTATATAATATTATATATATATATATATATATATATATATATATGTATATATATATATATTATGATATGATTATTAGCGCCCCCATACATGTTGAAAATTACTCATATTTCCTTATTTTGGCTATTCGCTATAAACATGTTGGTCAGGTTTTTAAAATGTTTCTTCGTATCTGTTTACTACTGCATGGTTTTCTATCAATTGCATATAGTGAAGGTATTCGTTTAATTCTTTATTTGCTAGTAAGCTTCTAAGTTTAATTATTAATTGATTTTCCAATGTGTACCTGTCAAGGTGTATCTGGAGCCACGAATGATAGAAAATAGGTTACTGACTGTTGATGCGATCGTTGCACCCTGTGATTCAGGAAATAAGGCCAATTTCTGATTCTGTCACAGTAATTACAAATCACAGGCCTATAATTCACTTTTCTAATATTTTGTCAACTTTTCACAGTTACGAGAACAAGTAGTGAAGGATTTTGTATTTCAAAATTCGTGTAATTAAGGTACTGTAATTTTTGTGTAGGTCCATATATGCTTAACTGTTCATGCTTACCAATTACAGTACCGCGAACAGGCCGCCTTATCGGCGGTCTTTTGCGAGGCTGTGAGTTACTGGGACGCGTCCAGTTGGAGGAGGTAGCGCAGAAAGAAAAGGGGCACTCATGTATACATGACATAAGTTTAAATGAAACCGTCTTCTATCTTGTCACCCTCCCATCGTTTTTAAAAGAAAATTTTAAAGAAATAATATTAGATTAGCCTGAAAATTTTTCTCATAAGTGATCCCCCATCCCCCATCCCGGGGGCGATCAGCACCCCCTCTCGTTCCGGTCGGCCAAAATACTGCAAGTAGGCCTATTGCATATTAATATTCTAAAGCATAATATTGAATACTGTATCATCTTTAAATATGATTTTAGAAAGATCTTTGCAAATGAAAGACAAATTAGAAAGATCTCTTGAGCCAATAAGTTTGTTATTAAAAATTATTAAACCACACCTTGATACATGCCAAGTAGGCCTACTCAAATCCCCCTGGAGAGCAAGACCGCATTCAAACTTGACGGATATTCCAGTGGAATGTTTGATCAGGTGGAATTTATACACACTAACAACTCCCTGTACGAACAAACAAATGTAAGACAAAATAATTATACAAAAAAACATGGAATTATATTCACTTAGCCCGAGAATTTTGTTACAGTTTTTTCAGACCAATAAATTTGGAATCCCCAACGTCATCTGACGCAATGGGTTACATCACAGTAATTTTAGGCTTTGAAATAAGCATAATTATAATATAGATGATGTAGTCAATTTCACGCTCATTGATTTATGACAAAAGTGTACTGCATTAGCATTTTTTCAGTACAGAAGTGCAAATATATAATTCGATTAGGCTTGCCAATTAAGGGTATTTTATACCATCAAAACGTTTGGGCTAGGCAAGAATCTTCTGTAGTGCCGAAGCTAATGAACCTAAAAATTTTGTGTTGAAGCAACCAGCTGAAAATGCTGTCATAATATAATTTTTAAAAACACATTCAGCATTTTGTTATGAGAACCTCTTTAACCTAACAACCCTAGTTTTCTTACAGAGAGGCTTATTTAGTGACTTTAGTTATAGATCGGAATTTCCATTCTTTGGAATATCCCATCAGGTTATTTTTATTGTTATTTTAATATTTCAATAAATAATGTTGTGCTTATTATATTTTTACATACTACAGCAATTGCTTTTGTAAATTACAAGATAGAACTATTTGATGCTTTAAGTATTCTCATTATGAAGTTTACTTAGTTTAGTTATTCTAGTCGTCTTTAAAATGGTATGACAAATATGATATTTAGTAACCATGGAACATTTTGTTTTGGTTGACTATTCTTAAAGTTTTGATTGTGTTTTACTTGTTATAAAATAGAGTTCATGATGAAGAAAAACTCTCCTGTAATTAATGCTCAACGAATCAAAACATATTTAAGATACTTGTATACTAAGTACTAATCACTACACTTTACTTTGAATAACAAATTCTTTCTTAATGTAGTCTGTGTAGACTTTCATTTTGGGATATCGCATTATGAAGTTACATTTGTGGAAGCAGACTCCCATTCCGATTTTAAAACATGGAACGAACTTAAAAATACATGTGAACAATCAGGCTACCAACTTGTGAGCATCACCACTTCACATGAAAACGATGCAATCTTCAACTTCATCCAAGATAATTGCACACGTGGAGACTACGCCATTGGATTATCACGTGAGATGAAAATGCCTAGAATGACTAAAAGTAGTTGGAAATGGGAATCCGGTGATACTGCTACTGAGTTCTTTTGGGGCGGTAGCGGTTCTGAACCAAATGTTATAGATAATTCATCCGCAGTTGTTTACATGACGACCCTAAACAATTTTGAACCTGGCAAATGGTACGACATCCATAAAAACACGAAAATAGGACTTTTAACTAGTAGTCCTGGATATGGTTATATTTGTGAAAAATCAATAAGTAAGTGGCAGTAATCAATCAACACCTTAAATTATTATCAGCCCACTGAAATACATAATGTGCACACAATACTTACGTAAACCCGACACATTTCAAACACTATTACATTATAACGCTGCGCAGAGTCCGACTCTTATAAATATCTTTTCCATTTCTCAGCAACCACGCAGTTATCCACTACTGCTGGTAGAACAACAATACAGTCATTTACCAGTCGTATACTGCTGAATTCCACTTATCGTAGGCCTACAATAATATCAACCACGGCAATTAATGAAGCCAACGAAAGAAGTGGTAAGTGCTAGGCTTAAAAAAATGTTAAAAGATGTTAACTCAATAAGGCTCTGTTCACACTATCACATATTACTTGACAAATTTGTGTGACATGTCAGTTTATTGACATGATGATGTCATATTATACATTAACACCCAAATATGGGCATATCGCATTTATTTGACGAATACAATTTGATAGTTTGATAGAGCATAAAGTTTAGAAGTATACAAGAAAATATCTTTTTGCAATTATAATAACTAATTTTTTTTTTCATTAAAGATGGGATTAGATTATGATTTAAGTTTATTAACATAAGTCCAAATGATTGTTTCTTTTCAGATTTAATGATGATCGTGATTGTATCAGCGTCACTCGTTGCAGCAATTGTAGTCCTGATTTTAATTTATAGGTGTGTATGCCAATACTTGTTAAACATTACTTAGTTCCGGGTTCAAAGTAGAGATCATGATTAATAATTAACTCATTTAGTATATTCCTAAAGATTCTGTTGTAATTATTTTACACTAAAGAGAAAGACAAAATAAAGTTTTCGGCTCGTAGAACAAGGAAGGTATAACATTTATATTATTACTTTTTGAATTCCTGGTACATATAAACTCTACATTCTCTTGTAATGCTATAATTCTATATAATTTATATATGACATGCATACAATTATTATATTACATGTTTTCAGAGGTTGGGGCAACTTTGACATTCACCATTTACTTTTCATTCAAATATATATTTTATATACACTTATAGCATTACACCAACACGGTTTAGAGTTGTTTAAAAACATTGTATTATGATCTATTTAGAGTAGGCCTGTATTTTATGTTTAAAAATGAGGACTTATCGTCACCTTTATCAGTTTGTTTATATTATGTTTATTGTCTTTTCGGTTTTAGTTTTCTTTTTTTGCATTGTAAACCAACGATTTCAGCCTGCGTATAAATAAATAAGAAAAAAAGTAAAGTTTATTTATATTACAAAAGTAAATATACATTTTGTTACTGTCAATATCATTATCACTCCTACTTGTATCATTTACTTTTTTATTATTTAAGGTTTCATGAACGGTTGTGTTGTAAGTCAAAGACCAAAATGAACCCGGAACTTTTGATGGATAATATAGCTAAGGATAAGCCTTGTGATGCGCTTTTCCATTCTACTGAAAATGGATGCCGTGAAGTTGATAGCGAAAAAATATTAAAATGCAATACGTCGTATAAAGGTATGCCTAGCAATCGTTGTCGAAACATGCCGGGACAAGGCAAGGATCCGGGTAGGGCTAATGTCATCGAAATACATATTCCAAATAGTCCATCCGTCGATAATGCACTGGAAGTGGAAAAATATCCATTGAATCAGAGTTCAATTGGGCATGACAGACAAAATCCAAATGATTATGAATCTGAAGAGAATCCTACATACGAACGTTATCATGATGAAAATTCGTACCGCATTTATAATGGTATTAAAAGCGACTATGAAGGTGAAGTGGACAACCCGGCCTACGATGCTCTCCCGTTTGATGCAGAAAGTCTTTATTCTTCGCCGCATGAAATGGCTGATGTTGCTGGCTCTGTTGATGCATCGAAAAAGACAGTCGTCAGTGCAAAACTTGTAGGCAACCATGATAAAGTAGCAGATTCGAGCATACATGCTCTGTATGCAAAACCTGACATGTCAATGAAACGTAAATACCAAGTGGACAGACCTAGCAACAATACTCTCTCATCTGAAACAGAGAGCAACTACGCTTCACAAGATAAAACAACGGATGTTGCTGAAAATGCTAATGTCTTGAAGGGAAATGTTGTCACTGCAGCAAATGCAGACGATCATGACTTAGCCGACTCAAAGAAAGATGCCCTGTATGCTAAACCTGAATTATCAATGTAACGTAATGAACGTTTTTGACTTCCTGTATTACTTTATATGACTTATCTATTTGATTTACTTTTATGTGCATCTGTGTGATCAGGCCTGATTTGTGTGCTTCTTCTGTGATATGTGGTTTTGTATAAAGTATGTACTGTATGTCTCTATGTTTATATTTGTAAGTACGGTACAGTCATGTGACTATGAGTATGCAGTTTTGTATCGGGATATGTATGTACTTATGTATGTGTATTTCATATACGTTTGTATTGTGTTTGTATAATTTCTTCATGTGTGTTAGCTTACATCACTTTAACTAAGTTTTTAGTTTAAGATTGCTTTGAAGTTTTTACATGACTGAACAGTTTCTCTTTTTTACTTTACCTTAATGTCCCTTTTGAAAATTTGAATTGTCTTTTTCTTAGTATACCGGTAAGTCTTTTTTTTTGTTATAAATTTACTGTACATTGTATTGTTTTGGACGCACCTTTTATCGAGAAGTGTGCCACTGATTTAAAAGTGTAGTTCCTAATAAATTGAATTGAATTGAAACTTTAAGGATAAAGGCTTCGGCCGAGCTTCTGCCGCAAACGGAGTCTCTTTTTGATTACCATAAGGTGACAGACTCGAAAAAAACTTTGTTTGCTCCAATAAACATGGCAAATGTAATAAACTGTACAATGAGTCCATGGAAGGATCTATCTTGAATACCCTTTGTTCGAATAAGCGCCGTTTTCGAATAAGCGCTGTTCTTGAATAAGCGTCGCACCAAACATAATATTTTTCGCTAAGCGACGCTTTGGAAGACGCTCAGTGGTACTTAATCGAGACACCTAAAAAACATGGTTTATATACAATTTATAGGCCTACAGTATTAAAATAAATAAATAACACATCATCATTATTACCACCACCCTCATCATCAGTAAAGTTTTTGCAATTACCATCCACATTAACATGATGACCAGCGTCACTACCATCACCAAAATCATGGTAGCAAGATAACTGATATTTATATTATAACAAACAGTAATATGATATTAAACGCCGAATTATTTTGTTTATCTATCGTTGGGCCATATATAATGCGCCTCTTCGTTGCGGTTTTAAAGTGCAGTTCTTTTCCCTGGTCATTGGGTCCACATGTTAAGTGTTGCTGCTGGTAATCAGCGCAGGAGCAGGCAACCCCACCAGGTACCCACTTATACTCATGGATGGAGAAAAGCAATGCAGATAAAGTGTCTTGCTCAAAGACACAAGCGAAATCCACAGGGAGGGATTGAAACCCCGCCCTCGATGTTGGGAAACCCAAACCGTTTCCCGCTTCGACAAACCGATTCTGGATTAGGCTTATAGAATTCTTTGATCAATAAACTTTATAACGATTATATTTTCGTATCAGTATGCTGCGTTAATCGCTAGTATCCAAACCAACTTAATTTGCTAACATTTCTCGTTTGTTAACCTAAATATGGCTGCAATAGTTATAGACGCATTGGACATTAAGGATTTGTAGAGAGTAGCACTATACAAAAACACAACCAATAAATTAATATGACAACTATTGTACGTAAGTTTTTCAATGGAAGTACGACGGTATATTTATAAACACATACATCTATATAAAACTACGCAACCAGAAAAAAACTCGCACGCACAGATAACAAGTGTGGAATAACATACTAGGCCTAAAAGTTATTTCCGCGTTAATTTTGGCTGGTAGAATATTATGTGCTCCTTAAAAATGCAATATATCAGTCTTTAGATTATTAAAATTAGTCTTTTGATTAAACAGCTGTACTGTTGTACAAACGATATTATGTATAAACGATATATTATAAGAAATAAAATACAAACAAATGTGGTTAGTGTTAATGCTTACAATTGTGATTATTTATTATTGTTGTTATTGCTATTATTATTTTTCCTATAATTATTGTTATTATTGTTATTATTATTATTATTGTTAGGCCTATTATTATTTGATATTATTATCATCATCATCATCGTCATTATTTTCATTATTATTACTATTACTATTATTATTACTATTACTATTACTATTACTATTACTATTACTATTATTATTATTATTATTATTATTATTATTATTATTATTATTATTATTATCATTGTTGTTGTTGTTACCATCATTATGCTTATCGCTATCATTGCCATTTCCATTGCCAATTTCATACCAACATAATTATCATTGATGATGGTGTTGTCTAGACATTATATTCTTTATCTTTAAATAGCATTGGGAAATCCTCCTTAATTGCAATTTGTTCCCTATAATTTTAAATCTAGACTGTCACACCATAATGAACCTTTTAGCCGCCATTTATTATATATATATATATATATATATATACATATATATATATTATATATATATATATATTGATGATTTATGTATATAATTTAACAGTGTTAACGGCTATCTTGATTTATATTACAGAATGTGCAATTATTTGTTTCTAGCCGTAATTATTGTGTAATGGAGTGTATCTGGTGGTATTTGAATCTGTTTAACCTTGAAGCCTCCGTGGTCTAATGGTTATGACGCTCGCCTTGACAGCGAGAGGTCGAAGGTTCGAGTCTCGCCAGAGGAATTTTATTACACAATTTCTTTATTCATTTATTGACAGGAATACATTCGTTGAGAGCTATGCTACACGATGTATTATTATGTCCTTTATTCAAACACTGTATTTACCTTTCTTTGATGATTTATGTACATAATTTAAGAGTGTTAACGGCTATCTTGATTTATATTACAGCGTATGCAATTATTTGTTTCTAGCCGTAATTATTGTGTAATGGAGTGTATCTGTATGGGGTGCCATACGCAGCAAAAGTCCATGTTAAAATCAAAATGTAATTGCAAAATTCAATGTCTGATTTATCAAAACGTAGGCGTAAATTTCTCAAAATGTAGATCTAGTTTCCCAAAATGAAGTTCTAATTTTTAAAAACGTACTTCAAATTTTCCAAAATGTAGTTCTAATTTCTTTAAAATGTAATTCAAATTCGAAACGTAGGTCTGAATTAATCAAACGCCTCTCCAAACTCTATTCCAAAACGTAAATCAAAAACCAGGCTGGTTTGAAATGCATTTGACAAGAACACTAGAAATGAACTTTTGCTGCTTATGGCGAAAGTGCGTTCTATTGTTGGAATATAATAATTTATTGCTTATGTCTTTGATTTTTTTTCTCTATATAATGGCCTAAAGAATGAGATAAAATTACCTGATCTTTTTCAAGATGAGAAAACCTTGAATTTTGAAGAACTTAAAGGTCATTAAAAACTCCTCAGAAGTCGGGAAAGCTTATTCCGGCCATCTAGCAATCCAAATTTTCCGGGGGAAGTTCCCAGGACCACTTTTAATGTTGGGTTTTTTTTTAGACATTTTAAACCACCCTCTTTCATATCCTGGATCCGCCCCTGGCTAGAGTGCATTTCCATTGTATTTCGAAATTGTTTATAAGTACACAATGCTTTAACCTACACATCGTTAATCAGGGATGCAAGATGACGCTGTGTATAAACAATTGATAAACTTAACATTTACTCGTGAATTGCTAGGTACAAAAACGTAGGCTAAAATTTCCAAATCGTTATTTTTGTACTTTTTGAAAAGCGTACACACACTTTCAAC